GAGTTTGGCTATCAGATATATAAACCCCAAAACCCCAAAACCCCAAAACCCCAAAAGGTTCAATTATCAATATGTAAATAAATTTTAAATGAATAAAACTTTATATAATCATCTGCTTAATTACAGATACAAATCATTAATTGAGGGATTTGCATCAATAAATATTCTATCATCTAAGTCTCTTTCTATTTTAACATAACCATTAATTGCTAAATGATAAAATGTAAATGCAGCTGCATAAATAGTACTAAATTCCTTTTGTAAATAAGTAGCAGCTACTCTACCAGTTCTGCTTAAAATTTTGCTAATCTATGCTACTTTTTAAACATAGATATCCTCAGCATAAAATGGGTATTAATGAACTCTTTTCTATTTTTTAGTCTTTTAATTTTCTCTAAAGATAATCATTTCCAAAAGCATTATAACATCATCTCCATCTTGCGCACTTTTCCTTTGAGTTGTTATATTGCTGAGAGAATTTTCATTTTCATTAAACTTATTAAGAGTAACATCAGTGAACTAGTCCATATCGTGTTCAATCATACTATCAATATATGGGTCAAGGAGCATTGCATTAAAATCAATTAAGCTAGGTGGTTCATGCTGAAAGCATTTTTTCGGTTACAAATTCATTATTGAGGTAAAAGCAGTGATGAAATTTTTATTTTTGCTTGAAATACGTGATTGAAAGATTCTGTTTATTTATAACTCTTTTGGTAATGTGGTGAATTCTATAAACTTGTGAATCGATTAATTATAACTTCTCTTCGTATTTTAGTTTTGTATCTTGATAAGGATTTTACCTAAGTTGATAGCCAATACTTTATTTCGTTCTATATACGCTATTTTTTATTCCTCATCCTATTAAATCTAAGCTTTAATCATCTCTACATCATCCTAAATTGATAATTGCTTCATTTCCTTCATAGGCGATTCTATAATTTCCTTTTCAGCGCTATTATTTCTTGAATTATTTTCTTCATGATCTTCTGAATTTTCATTTACACTCTCATCTCTATATTTTACTTGATTTCTTCTCGTTCTTAAACTATAGGATGAGTTTCTTTGTCCTTCTTATTTTATTGGTGTTTACTTAGATTCACTTATTCTATTTGTGGGGTTAGAGATAGTTGGGTTATCCATTAGTATTGCAGAGTTTTGGTCGAATTCAGTATCTAAGACTAGAGTCTTAACCATATTTTATTAACCAAATCCATCAGCTTATTGAATATTAACCAAAAAATCAACAGTTTTGACAAGATTATCTTTCTTAAGCTTCTCAATTATTCTCTTCAAAGTTTTCTTATCAATTTCAAAGCCTTTATTCTTTTCTAGTTCATTTTTTATGTCGTTCCTGAGGTCGACCAAAGAAATATGGCCATTTTCAGTGACCTTATTTAGGCAGTAAATATATCTATTTATGGTTTCAACAGTTAGTTGTCTTCTTGCCGAGGAGACCTTGCCCTCTTGTATAATATCTTAGAAATAATCCATTATTATGTCATCTTTTGAATGTCCAAATTTAATCATATTTTTCTTGGTCTAAATTTCTACTATTATACCATATGATTTGTCATTTAAGCTAATCAACAACGATTGAGGACTTTTTAGCATTTAAAGAACAGGATTTTCATAGATAATTTCCTGCTTTACCTATTAATTAAAAGCAGGTTTCCCATCAGAGTTAGATACTCCTTTAATTTCCTCTTTCTATTCTCTTTTTCTGATTGATTATATTCTTTTATCAATGTCTTCTTGCTTAATTAAGTACTTTAGGTAGTATTTATACTAAAATACTCTACCATTTCTTACAGCAGAAGACTCGATATCTTTGTGAATTTTTTTAAGCTCGGCTAAAACTCTGCTCATAGTTTTTTCCTCTTTATTCATTCCTAAAGCCACTGAGATATCGGATATTGTATATTTTCCATCTTCATATAAGTCTTAATTGTTAATTTTTAAATCCTTAACTGAAGTTTGTTCATTATCACTTTCAGAATCATCTTAATCTTAAATTTCTTAGAATTTTAGCTACTTGGCATCAATTTTATTCTCCAATACTCTAATGATGCTCTCTCTCATTGTTAAACTTGATTCTAGGAAAGTCTTATGTATGATTTTTTATCTCTTTATGGCGAGAGACCTTAATTCTAAAAGTTTTTAATCAGAATTAAAATCTTAGACTTCTTATTTGACATTATGGATACTTTCTGCTCTCTTTCTTTTGCTATTTTTTCCAATTTTTGAATTTTTTTCATCATCTTTGGCACTATAAATCTCCCCTAGCTGATCCCATCTGATTCCATTAAATTATGAAACAGATGCCTTTATCTTTTCTCTTTTGGCCAGGGAAATTTTCTTCTCTGAAGTACTAATATTACTGTGTGAATGAATAAACCCACATTTTTCAAGCTTTTTACAATAGTGAGCTACATCTAGAGTTGTCAGTTTTGCTGTATAATTAGTGTTATTACTCTCCATTTCTTTATTGTTAGAATGAGTTCTTTTACCCTTTGACTATGCATATTTTTCATTATATTTCTTGCAAATTTCACTATAGACTAGATCCTTAGTCATTGCATTCTGGCAAATAATGTTGTATAAGTTAAACAGAATTGCATTTTCCTCCTTTTTATAAAATTATTCTAATAGTATCGAGTCAGTAATGCATTCATTACAATCAAACTACAAGTTTTAGCTAAATCTGAGTATTATTTTGTTTATTTATTCAAAACTCTTCATTTACAATATTTCATCTGTAGTAAGACTTTATCCATCTAATGAAAGGCTCACATTTTTATCAACAAGAATTTGTAACAAATATTTTTGTAATGGAACATTTACTCGAATTAGCTCATGGTCTAACTAATCAATGAGATCTTTCATCTATATTATTGAACTTTACTTGATGAGATCTGCTGCTTATTAAATTAATTCATCCATTTAATTATTTTAATTATTATAATTAATGAATATAATATTAACAATTTATAATTTTCTTATGGGGTTTTGGGGTTTTGGGG